AGTACAAGAGAGACAGTTTGTCAGATCTGCCCCCAATCCAATCTCTTAAGAAAGAAAAGCCTGCGACACCATTTGGTTCAAGCAAAGGGTTCTTTTACTAAGGTTGCAGTGAAGTCAAGCCAGCTCTGAAATCTCACATGCTCGCTAGATACAAAAATAAGGAATAGATTTGCCCCCAGCCCATCCCCTTCCCATGACCAGTCCATTTCCAGCCAACTGGAGCTTGCCAAAATGTTTTGAGAACACTCAGATGTTTGGGGGTAATCTGCATATTTCTCAGGGTGCCTGGCCTTGGGTTGCTGGTACAAACAGGATCCAGCTGCTCTGGTCCTTCTCACCTGTCATCCCCCCCCCCTCCTAATTTCCTATCACATACACACAAAGCTTTACTGCTCTTTCATCCTTTCCCTTTTCTTCCTCCTTTGATCCTCCCCCAACCTCCTTCTTCTTTTGATGGCAGGATGCCTGTGAGGCGCCAAGCCAAACCAGGCAGAGCTGACACAATTTGGCATAGTGGTTAAGGCGCCAGGCTAGGGATCGAGAAACCCTGAGTTCTAGTCCCACCTTCCACCAGCTGGGTGACCTTGGGCCAATCAATCATACAATCACGCCAAGAAAACCGCAGGGACTTATCCAGGCAAGTCACCAAGAGTCAAGACTGACTCAAAGGCCCAAAACAGGCAAAGCATAGCTGTGCTGCCCAGCCCTTAACCAAAGAGCACATGTCAGTATCCACATGCTGGGTAACAGCTGCACATGGATTCCCCTCTCCACAGCAGAGGTCAGGGGAAGGGGTGGAGATCCTTGTGATGGTGCTGAGAGTTTACAGCTTGGATGTATGCACTGCCTGGTGGCTCATTCAGAATCGGAGAACAGATTCCCTGTTGCTTCCTGGATGCTGCTGGAGAAAATATCTCCGTCATTCAATGTAAAGATTGGCAACACCAACCAATGATTTGGACAAGGGGATAGATGGGAAACTCATCCAATTTGCAGATGACCCCCAAGCTGGCAGGAATAGCCAACATTCCAGGCATGCATAAGTGCACCATCGTGCCTACCCGCCCTGTCCTATTGTCCCTATTTATTCGTACCTATTTCCTGTATTCTTACTCATGTTTATACTTACACCTATTATCTTGTAAGTTATTGACAAATCAGATAAATAAATAAGATAGGCTTAAGATACAGAAGGATCTTGACTGACTTGAACATTGGGCATTATCTAACAACATGAAATTCAATGGTGAAAAAGGTAAGGTTCTACATTTAGGCAAGAAAAACCAAATGCACAGGTACAGTATAGGTGGTACCTTGCTCAATAGTGGTAACTGTGAGAGGGATCCCGGAGTCCTAGTGGACAACCATATAAATATGTGCAGCAGCTGCCAAAAAAGCCAATGCAGTTCTAGGCTGCATAAACAGAGGGGATAGAATCAAGATCACGGGAAGTGTTAATACCACTTTATAATGCCTTGCTAAGGCCACACATGGAATACGGCATCCAGTTTTGGTTACCACAATGTAAAAAAGATGTGAAGACTCTAGAAAGAGTGCAGAGAAGAGCAACAAAGATGATTCGGGGACTGGAGGCTAAAACACATAAAGAATGGTTGCTGGAACTGCAACCTATGTCTAGTCCAGGGGTGGGCAAACTACGGCCCGCGGGCCACATCCAGCCCGTTGGTCTGTCCAATCCAGCCCGCCCCTGAAAAAAATCGCTGGGCCCTGCGCCGCGTGGCCCCCAAAGCTGCAAAAGAGTGCGAAGCGCTCTCGGGGTAGGAAAGAAAAGAAGAACTTTGCAAAGGCCTCGGCTGGGAGTTC